TTATTAGTAACCTTATTGTTGCGTTGTCCTCTGGATGTTCTGTCTAGCAGCTTTACACGCGACTTTAATTACTTAGCTATCAGTTACTCATCACTTATGAATTATTATTATTTCGCTATTAACAATACCGGATTATATAATAAACAGTGTTGCACCAGTAGTGTTTGTGATATTGAAATGGTCGAGCGCTAATAGAATATCATCATCTGCAGTGGCAATTCGAAAGTGATGTGAAATTTCTTGGTTGCTTGCAGACGTTGACAGATTTATTCTCAAAATGAACCATAGATAAAACATCTTACAAAACAACCAGTCGTTGGTTTAACATTCATTTACGTGAGCACATGATGGGACGGGTGAGTGTGAATGAAATGGTTTTGAAATTCAATAGTTTGATCTTGATAATACGTGTAGAAATACTGTTTCCGTGCATCTGAGCAGTAAATTTCAACACGCTTGATCAGTACTAATCTGTAATTATACTGGCCAAAGTAAACAGTTTCGTTGCTAATATGAAACCATTGGACTGAGTAGGATATAAATTTTCAAAGGAAGGTCGAAGCTGAATTTTTCACCATTAAACACAAGGTGGTAAATGCGGACATTACTGTTTATCATTGATGAAATTCCACAGAAGTTTGTTTATAACAATTTCTCTTTACTCTCTGATCGATACTGTGTTCTGAAATAAACAAGTGTAAAGTATGATATTGACGAGAACAAATCACTCACAATTTTCTTGTTTGTGACTCAACAAAATATGCCAAGTGAACTAGTGTTATGCTATTTACATAATTTGTTGCCTCAATATTTAACTTATTATTATTAACGACTACTCGAGTTTTGACGAATTCAGAATTTGCAGAAATAGGAATGTATATTCTGTACATAACGTGAAATAAATGGAATGTTTGATTAGTATAAACTCTTTCAAAATATCTTTTCACTATTCTGAACTGAACTGGGATATTAAAATGTTCATTTTGATGTGCCAGTTAGAGTTGACTAAAGGACTCAATCTCTCATAACTTGTTCACACCTTATTTTTTTCATGAATTTTCATAAAATTGACGATTTCTCAGTGAAAGTGATGCGAGATCATACTGTAAGCTACTCTTATGCAGATTTACATCTTTGTGGTACGGATAGAATGCCTACGGCCTATCTTTTTGCTTTACTTTTATGCTTCTGTGAAAGTCTAATCTTCTCTTAAATGCTTAAATCTGTCACTTGATGGTGTGTACCCCACTTCTTCGGGTAACAGGTTCCATGAATTCTTGTCTGTGTGAAAACCAGTATGCCACGAATATTTTGTTCGTTCTATTTTTTTCTACTCGTCTACTATGTCCTCTGAGATGTCCTGACCCAGTGTGAAGAAAAACAAAAGATATATTGCGGCCAAAATAATTTCTCATCATTCTGTACATCAAAATCAGGTCACCTCTTAATCTGCGATAGGACAGTAAAGAGGTTTAGCTTTTCAAGTCACTCTTTTATGGCAAACCACAGAGTTCTGGAATTGCACGGGTAGTTGCCCTCTATACTTTTCCCAGGATATCCGAGTCACCTTTTAAACAGGGGTTAGCAGACTGAACGCAGTTCTCAAGCCTAGCTCTCACTAAGTTTATGTATACTGTAGTGTTCTTGGTAGCATATAACTTGGTGAATGTCCGTCTTAGTCCCTAGGGTTTTAAACCCCTTAGCGACCTCCCGCCAATGGTCGTGGTCTTAAGATCATGACTCACTGTCACCAAAAGATCCTTGTGAGGCCAGATCTTGGGTACAGGCACTTCCCCTATGCTGTGCCTTTTTACCTTTGTTTCCTCAAAGTGAATGTAGACACACTTTTCTGCGTTAGTAGACATCAGCCACTATTTAGACCAGCTAGTAACAATATTTAAATCTGCCTGAAGTGCACATGCATCTGTGTCTCCTGTTATTTCTCGCCGAATGTTTACATCACTAGCGTATAGTAGCATTGGGGACTCAACTGCACTTGGGAGATCATTAACATACAGTATAAAAAGTAAAGGACCTAGGATAGAATCTTGAGGTGATCCACTAAGTACTGGTCTCCAAGTGGAGCACTTCGAATTTACTCTTACTGTCTGTCTACGACCTACTACAAAATCCTTAAGCCACTTTAGGAGAGGTCCGGCAATGAAAAGATTCTATAGCAGTCTGTTTGTTGGCGTCTTGTCAAATGCATCGCTAAAGTCTATGTAGACAACATTCACTGATTTTCCGTTGTCTATAGCCTCTATCCACTTTTTTCTTGCTATAAGGAGGTTTGTTGTGCAAGATAAACATTTTCTGAAACCATGTTGTTCGCTGTTTAACAAGTTTTTGGTTTCCACAAATGTTATTATTGGCCTTTTCGACTATTCTTTCCAGTATTTTAACTACGGCACTGGTGAGGCCAACAGGTCTGTAGTTCGGTGGAAGTTGTTTTGGTCCTGTTTTGTGTGTGAGAGTGATGACTGCGTCCTTCCAGTTCATAGGTAACACACCTTGGTCAAGTGACATTGAATATCACAGTCAGTGGGGCTGCGATATATTGTGCAGTATTTGTCAAGATTTTGGAGTGTAGTTCATCTGGTCCTGTTGACTTTTCCATGGATAAGATGCTAACAGTCTCCATCAAAGTCCATGGTGAGCAGAAGGTTTTTTGACTTTGTATTTGGATCTAGTTCTCCGATTAGAATAGGCTCTTGATTGAAAACTGCACCTTGTAGTGTCAGTTATTATGGCAAGCCCATGTACCTTATTCTAACTTCCGGACATCCTATTTTATTCATTTTACTTGAGCCACATTTTGACCTTGTCAATTATTCGCTTATTAGCCTTGACTGTTTTCACATGAGCGTATATGTGTGTGCACATCATATTCCCATGACTCATCACATGTCTGTAGTTTATTTTGTCTGCCTATAAATATTGAGTAACGCTTAATTAAAATGGAGTTGGCTTCCCAGCCATCTTCCATATTTGTCATTTTTGCTTTGCTGTGCTTCATTCGCTTCATGTACGAAATATATGTATTCTCAAGTCAATTCTCGTTATTCGACTTATTTAATTCCGTTATTGGATAACGCGATTTAAGTCGACTATTATATACGAGAAAAGGCGATAGCAAACATTTATACGATCTTGGAGTCAGATCTACGGGCCACCAAAACCTAAATAGTTTGCCATAGCCTCTGCTTCTTCCTGATCATCCCCTATCATTTCAAATCTACTCCCTTACTTAATTAGGTTGAGAGTCCAATGGTGCATCCTTGTTCTGTAATTTATGTACGAGAATAGTCACTTAGGCAACTTGATTGCAGATTGTGCCAACTGCATTTCATATTTTCTCCGAGATTCCGGGATTTTAATTATAAACGTGTTTCTTACCAACTTGTAGAGTTCCCTAGTACTGGTTGTGTCAAGGCTGCTGGTGACGTTCTAACATTTCTCCTGTCTTAGTAAACGTCAAATGTCGCAGCCTTGCTTCTTCTCCTTTGGGACTGTCCAGGGTATATACGATTGAGTCACCCGGTTGTATAACTGTCTGAAATGAGTCCATACCACTTTTACCGATGCCGATGAGTGAATTACCCAGTTTTCAGCCGATGCTGCAGAGCTGATTGCCTTCATATCTGCCTTTCATATGTTAGGACGGGGCGGTGCAACTGTTTGACATGCCATCTCACCCATGAACTTGAATAAGATGGCTGCATGATCACTTCTCGCTGAAGGTGGGAGGAAAGTCATTTGATCGACATCATCACCGTGTGTGACGACTAAGTTCAAGAGAGACGAAGAGCTTCATAAATCATATCTGGTTAGATCTCTAATGTGCTATAATAAAGCTAGTGCAATTGTGGTTTCTAACAGTTTGCAATCAAATGACGTTGTCAACGACCCTACTTCTAAGTTTACCCAGTTAATATACGGTACATTAAAGTCGCCTACTATAAGGCTTTAACCCCTATTTCACCAGGACTTATGTTTGCTTAAGAGAAAGTCATTCACTACACATTTTGGACCGCGATATACCATAACTATTTCAATATCTTGCCATCTACATTTCAGCCTGTAACGCACCAGTTCACATGTCCCTGATCCATGTGTCACCACTCTGATAGCTCGTACGGTTAAGGTACATTTTGTGTTCAGGATAACCCCAGCTCCCCTACGGTTTAGTCTATCAGCCCTATTAGATGCAAAAGACTAGCCAACCGAATTTCAGTATCGAACCTTTCTGATGTTAACCATTTTTCTGAGACAGCAGTGGCATCTACCATTGTCTTGGGCTCCGCCATTTTATTTTGTGGGCTACAAGCATTTGTAAGCACACATTTAACCCTGTGGAGAACTTTCCCTTTTTTATTATTATCGTAGCAGCAAGGACTTCTCCAAAATAAGCACTTCTGTAAGTTTTCGACATTGATGCTGACCTCTTAAGTTTTAGCGGATACACCTTGACTAAACCCCCCCGGCCACACATATGCACCAAGTAGAGGATGGTAGTGCTATGCTACGCGTCACTATTAGCCTCCTTAAATCGAACGTTTCCCAACATATCTGCAACTATCCAAATATATATTCGGACTCATTCATTCCTAACTTCTGATTTAACTAGGTCAGTATCCTTTGACCTCAAAGTTGTCGCAGACAAAAACATTGTGAGACGCTGAATACCTGTTGCATCTTTAACGGTGAGCCCGAACGACAATTTGTGAATCTGTTCCCTGTTGTAATATTATATATTACATTTCATTTTTGTATAAGAATATATTACCTTTTATATCCTCGGACATTTTCACCCATTTATATAGTTTATTCTCATAATGATGGACAGACACCTAGACTATTAGATATTAAGACTCTTCTAAGAATACAGCGTGATGAACCCATGTGTGAAATTCCCCTTAGTGAAAAGTCAGTGTCGAGTGGTTTGAACAGTTAGGCTTCACCGAGCATGTTTACTAGTGAAGATTAGCTATGGCACTTACTAAATTTTCATGGGTCATTTCAACTCCTTTAGGTCGACCTGTTGGTCCACTCACGTACATGATCACAGCTAAATCTAAGGGACTAGCATGTTCTGATGCCAGAGGTATCCATAAACCTTCATAACCGTTCAATGAGTGATTATTATCCCTTGTAATCAGTGTGCAACCACTCATTTTTTGCCTTTCATGATTACTGCAGCTTCAAAACGTTCGACTTCAATTATATAGCGTAGATGTAAATTTGATGGGCTGTTTGTCAGAGCTTCTACAACACAGGTAGTAGCACTTCCAGATGGTGCAGTCAGGCTGTCAACTTCCGAGTAACAATCCCTATTAACAACTTCATTTTTGAAATAGATAATACTTTAAATTGAAGGGCATCTCTGAACGATTTTTATCACTTTCGATAGGAGCTCATCGCTTTTGAATATAACCACAGCTTCAGTTTCATTAGATTCATGCATCAATGCATTGTCAACAAGAGTAGCATACAAAGTAGCGACAGGTCGGTTGAAATGAAGGCCAGACTAAGCAGCAAGCATCTACTCAGTTCTTGTTTCATTGAATAATGCAGTGGGTTGCATATGTTCCTTGTTTTACATGGACATTGAATACAAACAAGCTGCCAGGTTAAATACTCGACGTTCAGCATCCCAAAATGTCTCCCGAGAATACTCACTGGAATTGAGCTCAGCCATTCGTTGTCCATCTAGACTCGGTCTGTAGTCCGTGCGTAGGACGGCTCTTGATCCAAACGCAGGCGAATCAGATCACAGCCTAACTGTACGAGGCCAAACACTAACCAAGTCCTCGCACCCAGGAAGTGTAGTGACTTGTTTTTATCACGAGAACACGATTGGTTTGATGAAAACAATTATTATTATAACCAATTGTACCAGTGACCGTTTAATGTGCCCTTTGTTTAACTGTGCTAAAAACATCCATTATACTTACTTCGATTGTGACTTCGCGCGAATCCGGCTACGCCCGGTAACCAAGCTTGTATCCTGGTACGATCTCGGTATTCTTTCGATACCACGAGATTGCCAGCAAATATATCTCGATTTGGTCCATTAACTGCCCTCTGATATTTGACTTCCAGGGGATTTTATGGATATCCTAGCACGCGTCCCTTTGTAGTGGTGTTCATAGTCAACTGCGAGTCGACACCACGCTACAGAAGTATACACGTCAGGTCATTAAGGACCTCAAATGTTCTCCACAGTGAAGAGGGATCACTTCCACCTATAGGAAGTGCCAATGTCTTTCTTCATCATCATACGTCCAGTCGTTGTCAGCAGGGGATTTGGACAGAGATATGTACCTCAATATTTTGCTGAATAAGTAGCAGTGGCAATGCAAGGTGCTCATAGGCAACTATCTTCATAACTAGACGTTTTGGAGTACACTTCATAGCAAATCCATACAACAAGATCGACGTGATGTTACTGTACCTTACAACACTGAAAAAAGGTTATACTTAAACGCGGAGACCTAATAAACTGATAAACGTAAGATTGACCCTTGCACATAGAATTTCAACACAGCTCTGGGACATGAATGTTGCTACATATGCCAGAAGTCACTAATCAACAAACTTGAGATGAGAGCCTCTGTAAAGAGAACAACGCACTTCATTAAACAGTATTGTCATATATCTGTTTATTATCCCTGTAGTATATTTTAACCTTTATTCAGGTTCCTTTTAATCTCACTTTATATTCTTTAGTCTTCCTTATAGAAGCTGTTGTTATTTGATCTTGGTCGAAGGCTTACCTTTTATTACTTAATTTACTGTTGCATGTTGCTGAACCATTGGCAACAAGGTCGTGATTGACTGAAATCAGGGTCACGGCGTGGTACAGTGCATGATTTTAAACGTTTGATTGTTTGCTTAGAAGGGTTGCTGGAATCCATATGATAGATATCTGATCCCATCTCGTTGAAAATATCCCTACTGATTCTCAGGCATCAAACTCTTTCTCACTAACCACGTTAGTTTGTCGTAGAGAAGCTTGACGCAACAACTTAGGCTTTACCATTTGATGTATTCTGTACTTTTAATATAATTTATTCCCTTCCTTAAATTAGGCCCGCTTGAATTGGACACAGATTTTGTGTTTTAATATAATTTAAAAAGAATCACTTAAAAACTCTCCATACGCTATACGCAAGAACGTAGTCTGACCAAATTGAATGAATTTTGATTTTTTTTAGTCCTGCATTCAACCCGAATATTGGTTTGTTGGTCGTTACATATTTCAAACAACCAGTAATCACCAATCTAACAACTACCAAAATGACTGGTAGGCGCAACAAGAAATTCGCCCAAAGTTCAGTGTTCCACCATGAAGAAATGCAACCAGATGTATCTTCAGATATATGGCAAGTCCTTTTTGATGCATTTTCATGCCACTGCCCTGATGTTAGTTTAATTGGTCGACATAGTAAAACTAGCTGTAGAATCACCATGATAGAGTTGAGAGAAAGACTGTTGAGGGAGAGATAAACGTTAGAAATTAGGGAGTTGGGTGACAGACAGGGCAAATAACTGCTGTGCCTCAAAAGATAGTTCGGTCCTTGAGGCTGAAACATAACATGAGTGGTAACGAACCTTCTGCTTCCAATTTTGATGGCAAATGACAGTTGTAGGTTCGCTGTTCCGTCAGCCATCCTTATCGTGACCTTAGAGACAAATTGTCTCCGGAAAAACCAAATATGTTAGGCTCTCTAGAAAGAAATGACAGGAAAATAACCTTGTTATCGCCTAATGGGGGGTTTCAGCTCCCGGAGGTAGAACTAAGTAGTTTTGGTCTCCAACCAGCAGAGTGCTGAAAATTTATCAGACATCTTGAGTTGCATGTTGTATCCAAAGTTGGAAGTGGTTGGCAGCAACTCTTATTCTGATTAAGTTATTGTAAAAAGGATACTTGATGGGCCATAGAGAAATGCATCAAGCTGCCACCATCGTATGGTTGTCGTAGAGCATGTGATAAAGTGAAACATTTGTCTTATAGAATACACGAAGTTAGCCGGACCTTGCCAAAAGATTTGACCGAAGGTTCTTGCTTAGAGATAGACGGTACGGAAACTCTGTATACGCTAGAAATAAAAATGGAAAGTTGTCATATACCTTAGAAGAAGGGGGTTACTCATCGGATGTCAACTCTCTAGAAACCCTTGCAAGCACTGTAAAGAAGTGCCTCCAGAGTTACAGGTGAAAGGGGTTAAAACAATTGGGAGGGTAATAACAAATGGTCGTGAACCCACATTTGCCGAGTTGTAAGAATTTGAGGCATCGAGCTCAAGAACATAACTCAGAAGATTCGGGTGCATCGCAACAAGTAGCAAACGAATTTCGATCAGTGTAGCCTGTCCCACACAAGAGCTATCGTTCGATAAGACTGGTATCAAGCCATCATGTAACATGTGGGAAAATTTACCTGATTGATAGTTGTTTTCGGTTTTCCACATTAGTAGTCGACTATAGGTGGGAGGAAGTCGGAGAAGAAAGGACTTCGGTTTCGTGTGTTATTAGAGGTCACTGATCAGTGAATTGTATAGGTCATGTCTGGCGCAATATCAAGGGTTGTCGGGATTAGCGTTAACCACTGTTGCATAAGCCCATAGGCGTTCGGGGCGCTTCGAGTGAGTGGTTAAAAGAAAGTCATTATAGGTACACAGAATCACAAGTAAAGCGTGTTTCATGGCCTTAAGGCTGGAGACAAAGAAGCATGTGCATATGCCTTTCTAGTCAGTGGCTCAAATGCTACCCTGGTCAAGTAAAAAAACCAAGAGACTTTTAGGATTATCGTCAGAAAGTCCGACGATTACCACCGAAATAGTAAACAGAAATAAGTTGGCCTAATCGACGATCAAAGCCTTTGAAGTCTACTCATTAGACGAAAACGAATGCATATGTATCGAACAGGCTGTTATAGTGGGTGACTTACCAGTACATAGACCAAGTAAACCTGTGAAGGACAGTGCTAAAAAACGGCTCCATCATATGGACATAACTCGGATGGGGCTGGTGGATGGCGAAGTTATATCGCCTATGGGTTGCGACAAGCCTGAAGCACATTGGTTCCTGAAACAAAGATTAGGGAGGAGAAAGAGCTCTTATTAACATAAGGGCAGTGCTAGGATGGATCTTTTGTAGCACCAGGATATAACAAGACCGGTTATTTATTTATTTGTCCGTTTGAACACAAATATTGGTAAAAAATGGGCACTAAATACATATGCGCCTTACAATAACAATGTGAATAGATGGCGAATGTGACGCACGTATAAGAAAAAGGGGAACAATAACGAACAGAAACAAGTGTATGAAAGTGGAATTGTAATAATGAGATAGGCAGTTCAGTTAACAAGAGTACAACCAGAAAGAATTCTTTCAGTTAAAGAAGTTACGTCCATTAATTTCCTATGAAGAAAGTAAAAGAAAGTCACAGCAGAATCGCCACTGGCTTCTATTTCTGAGCCATGTCTGATATAGTCTCGAGCCACTGTGTTGTACCATCTCTAGGACCCCAGCCAGGGAGTCGTGAAGGACCAATAGAAGCCAGTCATGTACAGCTTTCTTTCATAGCACAACACCATGTCATACACTAACCAACTACGCTTTTCCCAACCGGTCCCATCATGAGCAAATAATACACGAGGTAAAATTCTCTGGGACGACATTCGTATCACTTGTCCGAGCCACCAAAGGCGAAGTTTCAAGATAGTAACACTAGCTGAATTATCGTCGCTGTGTCCGAACACACGATGCGAGCCCCTGCATTACTAACACGGTGTTGCCACTGGATGTCGGCAATCCTTCGGAGACAACGATGATCAAACACAGAGTCGCCTAATATCCTCAAATCAAATAGGGCAGGTTTCACAAGCACAGATAAAACTGATCTCACTGAAGCTCTGAAGATCCAAAAATTTTCAGCCAGACTAAAATCACGAAAGCACCAAAGATGCTCGACCATTGTCTACTTCGACAAACAATGTTTTCTGGTATAGGGACAGGCTGGAAGAAAGTTAGAGACGGCCAAACGAAAACAATGGCATCAGTCTATGCAGTCGCTGACAATTGAACTTCGCCATATTAATATGTGTAGACTGCCTGGATAGGGTTCGCGTGATCATCGTAACCAGTGGTTAGAGATTATATGACT